TCAATAAACATGTTAAGTGCATATATATTCCCTTTTTTCTTGAGTCTGTTTGCTCATGCAAAATTAAATGTGATTAATATAGATTAAAAATGAATGATATTTAATCATGATTCATCAAAATTAATCCACAGGAACCCTGTGATTAATCTGATTAAAAATTTTAATCATTTGACAGCACTAGTAAATGTATGTTGTTTGTATGTTGTATGGTGCTATGTTGCTACTAGTAACTGAATTTCCCGGAGGAACCTTCCGAGGGATTAATAAAATTGTCTGTCTGTCTATCTATCTATCTATCTAGCCCAAGGAGCACAGCCTGAGTTGATTCTCTTAAGACATGGGAAACATGTTGCCAGAATGCAGGCCCAAGGCGAAAGTCACAGTAATGGTACCCAGAGTGTCCAACCTTTGTCCATTTACTGCACGGGAGTTAATGTAGTTTTTAGTCAGGGGGCGACTCCGTAGTGCCGAAACTGACATGCAAAAATCAGCACTAATTAAAGACACACAAGCCACTGAGTCCACCAGGAGAGCTAATTCAGTGCCTCCACAATTCCTTTCACATATGAAGTCTGCTGCTCACACTTATGAGTGTCAATCTCACATCCCCCAGTAGGAGTGTCCAGCATCATGGGGCCCATATGAAGGCGAGCTGATGTCTGGGCCTTGGCACCAGCTACACTCTGTTTCCCTGCTGACTATTGTCATTAACTCGGTGCGGTGACAAAAATTGCACACTCGCTTACCCTGCTCACCCTCTCGTCAAGAGCGCCAGCTTCGGTTAGGGCTGCACCCCCCATGGTACTGCGATCAGCGGTCCTGCTACAGGCTGCCCCCTTCAGTCAACTGGGAATCACAATCAGGAAAGTGTCCACCCCGTCTGTATGGTGGACCCCCTACTGCAAACCTGTCTGTGATTCTCCTCATACATCTCTTTCATTTCCATCCTAAGGAAATGCACCTTGTCAGTAAGTTTATCGACTCCATCACCGACTGACACAGAGTGCACAGCAGCACCATCGCTAATACGATGGCTGCCAGAAGGTGCACTCGCATAGTCTGTCTTCAGGGCCTCTCGTGCATTGTCGCATCGTCCCACTATCAGCAGAGCCTGTTTATGTATTACTTAACAACAAACTAAGCCTTAATTACATACTGATCTCATGCTCATTCATAATTGTGACCGAGCCTCCAGGTTCACCTAACTTTATATTAATAATAAAATAATAACACGAGCTCCACCTCGGTCACTGAACACTTCATTTCTTTGTATTAATAATTCCCTGCACCTCTCTCTCTTTTTTAAAAAAAAACAAAAAAAAAACAAAGGCAAAGCACTACCGCCCTATGGCAGCTCTAAAGGGACACAACCCACAAACTACAACCATCACAACTCACAAGAACCACCAACACGTTATATAACAAAGTTTGTTACATCATTAATAAATTGGGACATATCAAGCAATTACTGCATTTGTTACTATATCTGTTAATTCTGTAAACCTTTGATTAACTACTGAAGGAACAAATAATGAAAAACATATGTGAAATACTATAACCATGTTTGTTCATCATTAATGAATCGTGATGGATTTTTTTTTACCCCAAGCAGTTGCTATCTTTGTTACTATATCTGTTAATTCTGTTAATCTTTGGGAACTACTAAAGAACCACCGAAGGAACAAGTAATGAATAACACAAGTGAAATACTGATCTCATGTTTGTTCATCATTAATGAATCATGAGGCATTTTTTATCTCAAATAGCTACTATATTTGTTCGTGATTTGTACTTCAGTCACTACTAAGTTTGTGCCCCCTCAAGTAAAGTTTCCTTAATAAAGCTCCTTTCTTCGTACCTTGCCCTATGGATCTTCTCTCCTTACCTCGAGTCCTAACAGAAACTTGGAGTGCAAACTTTATTTCTCCCAGTTTGCACCCCTGATATATATGATGAACTTTATTGATAAATAAATATATATTAATGTGTATGCGTGTGTCATACTTCTATTTTTACATATTACATGACATGGGGTTAAGCTAGAAATGCAATACTGTTGTAACGTGAGACGTCGCAGCTGTTCGCACGTTTGTATAAATGTCTGATTATTTATATTCCACTTATAGTTATACTGCTACATCACCTCATTCGAATTTTTACCTTAATTATCAGATATTGCCAGACATTTACTCCGGTTGTAATAAGAGGTTTGACAAAGGATTGATGGATTAAACAAATTTAATATTTATCACTTACCAGTTTGTACAGAATTTTACTATCTACAAAACAAGAATCAAGTTTAATTACAGTTGATATGATAACTATAAACACAGGTAATTGCAGTTTTAACCGCATTTAACAGTAATGTGTGTAATATTATAACAGGAGCGAACCACTTCTCCTGTGGGAGTTTTACTTGGCGATAGGCGGCAGTTAACAGGAATGGCTGGGACCGGCTGGCGGGGCTATTTCCTTTCTGTATTTGACTATAAAACGGAAAAATACGTAATTGCAAAAAACAAGAAAGTCGGCGTCCTGTATAGATTTGTGCAGCTAGCAATCCTGGCGTATATCGTCTGGTAAGCTGTCTGTTTTTCGCTTTATACCATTGTTTTTTTGGCTTATACAATTCATTCAATATACTTGTCAATGATTCCTGTGTCCTTTAACAGGCATGTTGAGTATTACTTGGCAATTATGACGTCAGCAATATATCCAAGAAATAGTAATGTTTACTACTTTAATGGAGGCGTATCGGTAGTATGTCTTAGCCTGCTTATTTATCGGAATTCATTTTTGGGAGAGTCCCAAAAAATAAACAGGAAAAGAAAACCTGAACAATTCATTATCGAAATAAAAGCTGATTTCATTTGCCCTTTAAAGTAAGCTTATAATAAAGCTGTGTACGTATGCAATCGGCGTGCTAATTCAGAATGCCCTACTCTCCTCAGAGCTCTGTCTGGTAGCTTTATTTTTATCGAGCTCAAGGAGCAGCTTTTTATTGTAATAGGAGCCCTTGTTTAAGCTAAGTTTATTACATGAAATCTTCCTTATGTCAGCACACTTAAAGATAATTTATAACACTAACTTCGTCCACATTTTAGGTTAGAATTTGTGTTTCATTGGTGTCTCATTAAATGTGAAACTTTACCTTTACTGTTTACAAAATGGCTAACTTAAAAAAAAACTAACAAAGTCCTCTATGTAGTAATATTGGTATGAATTTAAAGATTTTAATTTATTCTCAATCTATTCATATACAAAGGCATCTCTGAGAGAAATATGAGATTTTATATAGTACCAGGTCAAAAGTCTGGGCACACTTAATGTTATTCACCTCAAAGTAAAAGGCCAATAATACATATGAAATATTGCAACGATCAACAGAACAAATATTTCTCAAATTTTACACTTTTCAAAATAACCCCCTTTTACTTCGATGACAGCATTGCAGACTCCACATTCTTTTAACCAGCGTCTAGGTGCAGCGACCTGGAATGTTTCTCCAACAGTGCTGAAGGAGTTTCCACAAGTTCTAGGCACAAATTGGCTACCTTTCTCTTATTTTTCGACATGGGCGTTGTTAGGTCCGATCAGTCGGGGCTATAGCCCAGAGTATTTTAACCCTAGTATTTTAGCCCTGATGCCCATTTTTCTTCAAAAACAAAAAAAGACAAGCCCCAGGTAAACTTGACTTAGCCCCTGATCCTTTCAATAGCTAGAAACCCCCCTGCTCACCCCGAACCAGCTCTATAAGGTCATATTAGGTCAGGGAATTGTGGGGGGCAGGTCATCTGTCACAGCACTCCATCTCTTTCCTTGTTCACCAGATAACAGTATTTACACTGTTATACTTTGAGGTGTGCTTAGGGTCATTATCGCATTGAAAATGTATCCAGACTTTTGATTGGCGCTGGAATCTGGAAGTTTTATATCCAGTGCACCTGTATAGGTGGGTCTTCCTGACAAAGAAAGGCTACCAGGAAGTGGAGGAATCTATCCAGAGCTCAGTGATCACTAAACTTAAGGGTGTGATACTCACCAATACCACGGAGACGGGAGTACATATTTGGGGGCCGGAAGATTATGTCATTCCCCCCCAGGTAAGTGCATGAATTAAGTTCCTTTTTGTTATAGCTTATACATATTGTAGCTTGACAAAATTAAAGCATGTTCCTTGTAATAGTTTAATGAATTTATATGGAGCACACAATACTTTCTTTAGGACAAAGATTCAAGTAGTTTATTGTCGTATGTATGGAATCTACACAATAAAATTCTTAGTTTGTTCACTCCTACAGATGCTGCAAACAAAAAAAAACAAAAGTATATTAGATAAAAATATAAAACATACATATCCACCACAGATAAAACCATTCAAGAAAAAAAAAATAGAAGTACCTGACAATGTAAAACATAACATATACATAAAAATATGTATATATTGTATGCATACATACATAGAATATACATAATATATACCTATATTGTTTGGGAATATGCAGAGTAAAGTGACTGGGGCTTGTGAACACAGAAAGCAGTGAACACAGAAAAAGAAGATATTCAACAGGGGGTGCTATCCTGAATTTTACATTTTTCCTTATTGACATTTATTCTGGAATGGACAGTGTAATATTTTATTGCCTGCTAAGTTTTATAAATTATATTGGTCACATGATTTCTGTCTTGTCAGCATAGACTAATTCCAGCCAGCTACTTGTACGTTAATTTAGAATTCTACTTTACGACATTTACAAAAATTTTAGCTTTAACACACCTTATGAGCTTATTGTTTAGCTGCTGTAAACAAGAACATTCATGGGTAATTTCTTCTTTTCTATAACTCAGAGGTTTTTGTTATTTAAAATAAATAAATTAAAGTAGCAGTCTTTGAAAAAAATATTGATGTGTGTGTGTGTTTCCAGGGGGAGAAGGTCTTTTTCATCATTACAAACTTTATTGAGACACCAAAACAGGTGCTTGGATACTGTGCTGAGGTAAGAGAGGTTGAACAGTCACTCTTTACAATCAGTGCTTAGTACTCAGTAGACTGCATTAGTTAGTTGTAGCTGTGAAAGTTTTGGTTAAATATCAGTTAAAATCTACTCTTCATGTGATACTGGCTGTGGTCTTCATTAATGTCAATCACACTGCCTGTTCTTCCTGTGTTTGCAAACAATCCAAAAGCATGATTCGTTACTAAGAGGGCTTGATAGTGAGTGTGTACCTGCTATGGACTCACATGCCATCCAGTGTGTTCCCTGTTTTATGTCCTGTTCTTCCTGGGATAGACTCCAGGTCCACCACAACCTTGTAGTGTATAAGATTTATACAGTAGACGTATGGATGGATGGTTGGCTACTGTTCCAAAAGTAGACCAGATCAGCAATGACTCAGTAATGAGTAGCAAAAAGTCAGTACAAAGAGTATGAGATACTTCAAGCCCTAGCCTACAAAGCTAGGTAAGCATTCAATGTGCCAAAATGGAGATGGTAATAAAAGAGAGTGGTGCAGTCCTCATCTTTTCTGTATTGGTCACCATGATTTATTGTTCACTTCTCATTAAATGCAACTGAAATTATTTTAAGGAAGCACTTCAAGAGGCACTTCTGAAACTACTCTTCTACATTCACTTTTCATACTGTTATTCATCACATTTTCATAATTATCTCTTTAAAGCATTTCTTGATTCTGAAAAATACCAACAAAAATAGCATTGCCCCTTCACTGAGTTCTCCTAGTATTGGTAATTTAATGTTTGAAAAAAACATTCATGTTCTTATTGCAAGAACTGCATTCCCCACTCTTTTAAGTCAATTGCTGTTTTTAGTGGTTCAAGCAAAGGAAAAGTTAAAACATTGAAGAATATTGAAATCTTTCTGGATATAACCATGCTAGAGTTAATTTACTGGCACCCTAGCTAAGAATGGACCATGAGACCACAAAGTTTGCATATAGGTGAAGTGGTAGGACAGCCTAGATCATTGTTTCCTGGTCAAGAAATTGCCACAGAACCTCGCCTTACAGAAAGCCATGTACATGTCAACTGATGAAATCTTTCCTTACATGGAGCTATAATCATAAGGTAGCTGGGCACAATTCCAGCATATTTTCCACCCTGGACAAGAGTTTGTATATACAAAAGTGATTTCAAGTGTAAACTGTTTTATTTTCCTGATGAATCTTTTGTGAGTTATTGGCATGCAGTAAAATGACTGTTCTGCTTTAAACAAGACATAGTACAGTGCCTAAGGGTGTTTATAAGCCATTTCACTCGAAAACTGTGTTGAAAGCTAACTAGCCTTTAAAGCAAATCAAACTGTAACCGATCAATAACATGGATGTTTTTGTTTTTAGAGTTCCAGGGTCCCAGATGGCCGCTGTACTGAGAATGTAGACTGTGCAGAAGGAGAGATGGTGGTGGCTGGGCATGGTAACAATTAGTGAACAACAGAGATATTTCTTTAAATGAATTACTGATGCAGGACCATGCTTGTACCTGAAAAACATAGCCTGAATACAAATACTACTGTAAATTATAAATATAAGTTCATATACATTTATGTTATTTTCATTTTATATACCGATTAGCCATAACATTAAAACCACCTGCCTTATACTGTATAGGTCCCTGTTGTGCCGCCAGAATAACTGATGCATTGAGGGATTGTCTCCCCAAGACTTCTGAAGGTGTCCTGTGGTATCTGGCAAAAATACATCAGCAACAGATCCTTTAAGTCCTGTAAGAGATGGGGCCTGTTGTTTGTCCAGCACATCCCACAGATGCTTCTTCGGCTTGAGATCTGGGTAACTTGGAGGCCAAGTCAATACCTTGAACTCTTTTTCATGTTCCTCAAACCATTCCTGAACAATTCTTGCAGTGTGGCAGGGAGCATTATCCTGCTGAAAGAAGCCACAGCCATTGGGGAACACTGTTGCCACAGAGGGGTGTATTCGGTCTGCAGTAATGTTTAGGTAGGTGGTATGTGTCAAAGTAACATCTGTATGAATGTCAGGACCCAAGGCTTCCCAGTAGAACATTGGCCAGAGTATCACACTGCCTATCCTGGCTTGCCTTCTTCCCATATTGCATCCTGGTGCCATCTCTTCCCCAGACAGGTAAATGACGCACATACACCCGGCTTTCCACATGATGTAACAAAGAATATGACTCTTCAGACCAGGCCACCTTTTTCCATCGCTCTTTGGTCCAGTTCTGACATTAAAGTGCCCATTGTGGATACTTTCAGTGGTGGACAGTGGTCAGCGTGGGCACTCTGACTGGTCTGCGTTTATTTAGCCCCATATACAGCAAGCTGCGATGAACTCTAGGTTCTGACACCTTTCTATCATAGCCAGAATTAATTAACTTTTTCAGCAATCTGTGCTACAGTAGCTATTCTGTGGGGTCACACCAGACGGGCTAGCCTTTGCTCTCCATGTGCATTAATAAACCTCCGGTGCCCACGACCCCGTTGGCCTTCCTTGGCCTTACTACTGCATACCGGGAAAACCCCACAAGACCTGCCGTTTTAGAAATGCTCTGCCCCAGTCGTCTAGCCATCACAATTCACCCTTTGTCAAAGTCGCTCAGACCCTTACTCTTGCCCATTTTTCCTACTTCTAGCACATCAACTTGAAGAACTGACTGTTCACTTGCCCAATGGCACCCTTGAAACACTACAGATATGGACAAATTTGTTGGCACCCTTCCACAAAAACAAAAAAAACACAACTATCTCTGAAATAACTTGAAACTGACAAAAGTTTAATGGCATCCCTTATTGTTTATTCCATATTTAACACAAATCAGACTTTGCCTTTGATTATTGATTCAGTTGAATATTTTATATAATTAAACATATGAAAATGGCATGCACAAAAAAGATGGTACCCTTAATTTAATATGTTATGGCACCACCGTTTGCAGCAATCACTGTCAACAAGCGATCTCTGTACTTCACAATGAGACGTCTGCATTTGCGAACAGGTACTTTGGCCCACTATTCCTGAGCAAACTGCTCAAGCTGTCTCAGGTTTGAAGGGTGGTGTCTCCACACTACAATTTTCAGATCATTTAAGAATAAGCTTTGGATGTTTTGGATCATTTTCCTGTTGGAGGACCCATGACCTGCGACTGAGGCTGAGCTTTCTGACACCGGGCAGTATGTTTCGCCCCAGGATGCTCTGGTAGTGCCCTCCTGGGTCTTCTTCCATGAAGCCCATTAGTGTTCAAAATGCAGCGGATGGTGCGATGAGAAAGTGACAAAACTTGACCTTGGAGCTCAAGGTTTCCTCAGCTCTTTTTCTACTATCCACACTATCCTTCTGATCAACCTGGGATTGCATTTACTCTTGCATCCACATTCTGGGAGGTTGGCTACAGTCCCATGGACTCTATACTTTTTAATAATATTGCCAACTGTAGTCACAGCAACATGAAGCAGCTTGGAGATGATCTTATAGCCTTTACCATTAGCATAGTTATCAATTATCATTCTGCTGAGCTCCTCAGACACTCCTTTGCTTTTTCTGGTCCATGTTCAGTGTGGTGCACACAATTATACCAAACAACAGAGTAGCGTGTTCTTTCCCTTTTCGCAATGTGTGCCTCAGCACTTGGCGAACCCGCACTGTTACTTTATGTGGTCTGCCACTTTGTGGCTGAGTTTCTGTCATTCCTAAACACTTCGCTTTTGCAATAACACTACTTACAATTGACCATAGAATATCTAGCAGGGAGGAAATTTCACAAACTAACGTATTGCAAAGGTGGCATTTTATAACAGAAGCACACTTGAATTCACTGAGCTCATCAGAACAATACATTCTTTCCTGACTACATGGCTAGGTGTTTTATTTTATACACCTGTGGCAATAAGTCTGTATGAAACACCTGAATTCAGTGATTAAGAGGTGCATTCCCATACTTTTGTCCATATAATGTAGGTGCCATTGTAATGAGATAATCACTTTTTCTCCATTTCACCTGTCAGTGGTTTTAATGTTATGGCTGACCGGTGTATACTTTATACTAGGGGTCTCCAAACTTTATTACAGTGGGAGCTACTTCTACAAAGAAAATTATTTGGAGAGGTACAAGGGGATGGGCTTGTAATTCATTATCCTTTCATGTCCCCTCTGCACCACACCATGACAGTGCAGCACTTATCATCTGAGACGAAATCATACTCATACAAAAAGAATATATCGATTTGTCAGTATAATGTAGGATACTTAGTAACTGCAGGCTACTAGTCGCTTGCAGTCACTGCATTGGCAACCACTGCTTTATGAATTTACCTAACTTTACACATGAAAAACACACAAATGATAATGAGCTGTGTGTATCGTGTTAACACCCAATGAAATTTGTTCTGTCTGGTAGGAATTAAGAGTGGCCGGTGCCTGAAGAAGGACAGAAACTCCACTGGCACGTGTGAGATATATAGTTGGTGTCCAGTTGAGAGGGGCCGTCAACCACGGTAAGTACCACTCTCAACACCTAAACATGAACACTGCTCCCTCACAGTGCCTTTGTGTAATTGGTCTGTGGTATAATTCTTTGTGTGTCCCTCAAAAGAAACAGATTCTCTACCATTTAGCTTATTGCAAATTATGATCCAGTAGTAACAAGTATAAAAGTTTTTACAATAGACATAACACCTCTATCATGCATAACACCTCTACTGTATGTTTTTCCTTAGAGAACCAGTGTTGGGACGAGCTGAAAACTTCACCATCTATATAAAAAATTTCATCCAGTTTCCTAAATTTGGATTTTCAAAGTAAGTGCTTTGTGCTGTTCCAGTGTTCCACAGAGTACACTAAGACTGGAATTATTGAAATTCCTGATCTTTCTGCTCCAGAATTACGAAGCAGGAAGATATTCAGAGATGACGTCATGTTAGCTGCTAGCATGTTAGCTGGTTATTAGCTGTACAATTTCTATTGAATAAAATACTGTATGAACTACAAAGAAGTCTTTATGATTATGACAGATGCTTAAGTAGTAAGTACTTTCCATGCATAGATTCTTATGACTTGTGTCACCAAAGCTAAAACCTATCTAGTTACTCATATCTAAATCATCATCAGTCTTTTGAGAGCTTATTCTAGTCAGGGTCATGGAGCAATCTAAATTTAAAACTATTACACTTGATCTATCATGGACTAATTTGAAAGGATGGGACCTTCAGAAAAGTTTACAGTAGTCCTCCTGTATCCGCGGGTGAAACGTTCCAAAACCTACTGTGGATAGCCAAAACCGCAGGTAATAGCGAACCATCTGCGGACCACATATATAACGTGATTTTAATGTACTTAAATATCATAAATTTTGATGAGTGCTTGATGAACAACATACTGTTTCACATTTGACATGGTAAACTGACTTAGACTGCAGATACTGAAACCGCAGATACGGGGAAGACTACCATATATCAAATAACTCATTTTGTTTTCAGCATACAATTTCAAACAAAAGCATAGAACTTAAGTGTACGAACAGCTTCATTACTGGCCATCAAATTATTGAAAATTTTAATTGGATACCACTCTCCTTTGCTTTGTTCTCAGATCAAATGTACTGAAAACTAATGATGACCAGTACCTAAAGAAATGTTCCTATGACAAAATCCAGCACCCATATTGCCCAATTTTCCGCCTAGGGGATATAGTTAGATGGGCAGGACACAATTTTCAGGAAATGGCTGTTAAGGTAAGTCATGTATTGTTGCCATGAGAAAATTTGCAAGTAGGCCAGAAGATTAATTGGTTTTAACTATGGATTTAATAATATAATATAATAATATACAGTGCTGGTTTGTTTGTTTAGTCTGCACGCATTCTTGGAAATTTCCTTATCTTAACTGCCATTTTTGGTCCAATACATTCCGTCATGCATTATGTACCATAGTAGGGTAAGAATAAGGTTTCCCTGAAAAAATTCTCCATTAGCAAATTGTTATAGCTTTGAAGGGAAAAAGCAGATAAAGTGTCCTGTAATGGGTGATATGATCTGTTGTGATTATGATTGCCTTCCTTTAGGGTGGATCGATTGGCATTATGATTGAGTGGAACTGTGATCTGGACCGGGATTACTCCCAATGTAACCCCCACTATAGCTTTGCTCGGTTGGATGTCAACTCTGCCTCCAGCTCAGTCTCATCTGGCTACAATTTCAGGTACAGTATTCTCATAAATTGTAGAAATATATAATGACACAGGGCCGGTCAATCTTACAGGTGACATAAGCAGCTGCCTATGGTACCAACTTCGGGGGGGGGTGCTGACTTGCCAGCCAGTTTCACATGGTCTCAGACAGGGGGCGCTGGCGGTCACGTTCACCTAGGGTGGCACTTTGTCTAGGACCGGTACTGTGATGAAATATGAAATGTAATTAAATGTGACGGATCCTGCATTGAATTCTGTTCCTGTATTTGGTGAACATATGGACACATATCTCTACTGTGAAATTTTTAATCCTTATGGTCATTGAGATATATCATTACACTGTTCTTACCAAGATTTGCTAAGTATTTCAAAAATCCAGCTGGGCAGACGTACCGAACACTGGTTAAAGTGTATGGAATCCGCTTTGACATCTTGGTTTATGGAAAGGTACGCATAACTTGCTCACCGTGACACAGCACACATTGTGAAACTTTGCATTTGATTACCTTGTTTTCAGTTATTGTCTGTTTTATTTTCAGGCTGGAAAGTTTAACATCATCCCTACAATAATTAATATTGGCTCCGGTCTTGCTTTAATGGGAGCTGTAAGTATTCATTTTATGCATAAAAAATGTTGTACCGATCTCTGTAAGCGCTGACACAGTAGCTGATCATTTCACATTCTCACCCCGAGTGCCTGACCAGGGAAGTGAAGGTTTTCACCTTTTTTGCTGATACGGGGTGGGCAGTTTAATAGCTTTTCTTCAGAATCTGGGGATGTTTAACCGTGTATTGCTGGTTTTGAAACTAATTTTAAATACAGTATCTCAGTGGAACATGAGTAATACCTCGTCCAAGACATACAAATCAGGTTGTTACTTTTGAGGTATGCCTTGTATTCTGTTTCTCAGTGAGGCTTGAGAGAGTTTTTTGTCTCTCCTAAAAAAAGGAAATGGATTCCTCTCATAAACAATACTTACTTTTCAGGGTGCCTTCTTCTGTGACCTGATACTTTTGTACCTGATCAAACAGAGCACGTTCTACAGAGAGAAGAAGTTTGAATTAACAAAGTATGCTTTTACAGTGTTGTTTGCATACCCTTACATATTGAGGGATATATTCTTTGTTATTTCACATTTCTGATTCTTCATAGATTGATGATTTGTATGTTTCATATTTTTATATTTATTGACATGTTTTCAGTTATATTTGACTATGAAAGCAGTCACTGGTGTTAAACAATATATTTTAAGTTTAGTAAGTTTTGTGAAATGATAGAGAACAATTGTTCAGATCTTACATATCAAGCTACCTTCATACCTTGGTACCTTTAAATATATTTCTTCATTATAAGTAAAGAGAAAGAAATGTCTACAGAAACTGAAAGATTTTAAGTTCCTGAGTATATTATTGTGCAAAACTGTAGTGTAGTAAGTGTTGGTTTTCAGCTATCTGTAGCTAATAATTGCTCTATTCAAGCACTGCAGTTATTTGGATAATATGTGATGGTCAAATGAAGCTTGATGAGTTATTTGCTATATTTTCTAACTCCACTAGATGGTGCTCTCTGTACAAAAAAGGGGTCAAAAATATCCCAAATCAAAACAACAGCACCATGTAGTGGGGTCAAAAAATACAGCAAATGGTTCATGAAGCTTCATTTGGCCATCACCATGGATAATGCAATATGCTGACATGAGTATATAAACAGTTGAGGAGAGTGGATGGATACATTTGTTTGCAGATTTACAAGAAATTAGTGTCCTCACCTGTTTCTTTGCAGAAAGGATAAAAGCAAGAAGGATATAGATGGGGCAGATGGACAGAAGAATCCTGTGAAATAGATCTTGCAGGATAGAAGGTGTCCTCTGCAGGCCACCAGAAGGGAATGTCATGCTAGGGGGCTTTCTGGAGCTCCAATACCAAAGCAGGAAGAGGAAGTACGCATACACATTCATCTGTTAGCATGCCAGCACTCCCACCAACACTCTGAGCACCAAATAGGTGGTATGGTTTTGGGGATCCCCAAAGGACTGGACAACGGAAGATTCTCACTTCATCAGTAGTAAGCTTGATGTGAAGTTCCATTGCGATTTAACCATGAAACAGAATTTGCAGCAAAAACATTACTCTCGTTCACTCTCTCAATCAGAACCAAAACAGACCCAGTTTAACTGGCAGCAGAGATACAGGCATGGCTTTCAGATGGGATGTACTGTGCTCACACTGATTGCACTTTTAGTAGATGAGAACCATGAACCCTGAATGCTTTTTGATATGAGCATTTTGTAAGTGAAACAATATCAGACTGCATTCCCCAAATGTCAAGCCTATAAGTTGCCCCACAAGGGTGTTAATCTGTGTATGATTAATGTCACTGCTGTGTGCTTATTATATACAAAATTAAAGCATTCCCTTTCATATGTCTGAGTAAACCTCTTTTGATTAAACAATTGTTTGTAAACGTGGCCTAAGGCCACGTCTTCACTGAAACGGATCATGCTAAATACTGCGAGCTTCACCAAGGTCAGATGTGTTTGTTCCCTCAACGTTTTAGAGGCTGCATAAACAATATAAGTTAATACAGAATCTATTGTACCAGTATGAACTACTTAGAATGCGCAAGTGAATTCACATAAAAACAAGCTTCAATTGGCAGAAAGAACATCCACTTACTAACCAAACTACAAAGGAGGACTGTTGGAACTGCAACTTTTTTATTCCCAGGATAACGCTGTCACTTTGTCTGACCATCTAATCTGTACTTGTTCCACACTCGCCAATCTGTACAATTTCTAGAAGTGAATGGATCTTTTGGAAATGTAAACGATAAATGTATGTTTACCTGAATGTTCTGAGTCCTTGTTGTGACATTTTGGAAGCTACACTTGTGCATTTATTACATGTGCCACTTATATGCTAATTTGCAGAATATTTCTCCTCCAGTTAGATGGTTAACTGCATGTCTTAATGTTCATATGTAAATATATTATTTATGTTTATATTTGGTAATGCTTTACATTAAGTGCACCTTCATAATGGATTCATAGAACATTCATAAGCAGCATGCAAGTACACGTTAACATTACACCTAATATCCCTTAACAGCTTTAATATACATTAATAACAAACATTACATGATTATACAATTATAATGTTTGTATTATTATATAATGTTTGTTATTAATGTATATTACAGCTGTTAAGGGATGTTAGGATGTTAAGGTATACATACATGATGTTTATGAATGTTTTATGAATACTTAATAAATACATTATGAAGGTGTACTGAACGTTCATATATTATGTGATATAAAAGCATTATGAAGGTGCAGTTAATGTGAAGCGTTACCTCATATTCTTCATATGTCTAAATATCTCTGTTCTATGCATCTCCCCATGTCATTGTGGAGTTTCCTCTGGGTACTCCGGTTTCCACCCAAACCCCAAAAATATGCTGAGGCTAATTGGAGTTACCAAATAGGTAACTCCATAGGCCCATAGGTGTATGAGTGAATGGTGTGTGTGTGCGCCCTGCGATGGGTTAGTGCCCCATCCTAGGTTGTCCCTGCCTTGCACCTGCAGCTTCAGGATCAAGCTCCGGACCCATCCCCATCAGCCTGAATAGGACAAGTGGTTATAAGAAAAAGGATGGATGGATGGATGGTATTCCTCATTTGCACTATGACTAACATTTTCTGTGACATAATAGAACTGTAAAATGGTATATAGTTGTGTTCAGAATAATAGCAGTGTGTCTAAAAAAAGTGAATAAAGCTGAAAATCCTTATAATAGTTTTTATTTCCATACATGCAAATGCATTGGGAACACTACAAATTCTATTCCAAATCAAAACAAGAAGAGAAATTCATCACATTGGTGTTATTCCTTTACAGAAAGTGAAGCTAAGGGAATATTTGGCTGTTCAAAAAAATAGCAGTGTCCACATTCTTCTTAAACTCAAAGATTCACTGTATGAACTGAAAAATGTTTTAAGATTTTGTTTTTCTTTGAATCATTGAACTAATATTTAATTGTATAACCACTGTTTCTGATAAATGCTGCACATCTGTGTTGTATGGAGTCGACCAACTTCTGGCACCTGTGAACAGGTATTCCAGCCTGATTGGACTACATTTCTTGGTTTTGCCTCAAAAACAGCATTTTTGATGTCACCCCACAAGTTTATTGGATTAAGGTCCGGGGATTGGGCTGGCCACTCCATAAAGTCAATCTTGTTGGTCTGGAATCAAGATGTTGCTTATGTGTTCGGGGTCGTTTTCTTGTTGAAACACCCATTTCAAGGGCATTTCCTCTTCGCCATAAGGCAACATGACCTCTTTAAGTATTTTGAGGTATTCAAACCGTGATCCCTGGTATGTGATAAATAGGCCTGCCACCGTAGTATGAGAAACATCCCCATAACATGATGCTTGTACCACCATGCTTCACTGTCTTCACAGTGTACTGTGGCTTGAATTCAGTGTTTGGGGGTCATTTGACAAACTGTCTGCAGCCACTAGACCCAAATAGAACAATCTTGCTTCCACAAAATGTTGCGGCATTTCTCTTTAGGCCAGTCAATGTGTTCTTTGGCAAACTGTAACCTCTTCAGCACGTCTTTTTTTCAGCAATGGGACTTTGCGGGGGCTTTTTGCAGATAGCTTGACTTCATATAGGCGTCATCTGACAACAATACTCACTTTAGACCTTCTTTGATCTTCCTGGAGCTGATCATTGGCTGAGTCTTTGCCATTTTGGCTATTCTTCGATCCATTCCAATGGTAGTTTTTCGTTTCCTTCCACGTCTTTTAGGTTTTGGTTGCCATTTTAAAGCATTTGCGATCATTTTAGCTGAGCAGCCTATCATTTTCTGCACTTCTTTATATGTTTTCCCCTCTCCAATCAACTTTTTAATCAAGGTACGCTGTTCTTCTGAACAATGTCTGGAATGACCCATTTTACTCAGAATTTCAGAGAGAAATGAACTATAACCAGCATGTACATTTGCTGCCTTCCTTCTTTAAATAAGGCCCATAATTGGCACCTACTTTCACAGAATGAATGACCTCACTAATTGAACTTCACATCGCTATTATTTTGAACATGCCCCTTTCAAGTAATGATTCTGTTACACATAATCAGCAGCATGCTTGTCATGACTGTTGGGTCTATTGGTTTTCCATTACTCTACTACACCTACTAGTAAATTATTTGCCATGTAGAAATATAATTTCTAACAAAAACAGTGATTGATCAGGTTAGTCATGTCGGACTGCTATTATTTTGAACACAACTACAGTATACTGTATATGGAGCCCCAGAGGGACCGCAGACAGTATTTTTTTTGTATGTGGCTACAATGCATTAAACCGTGCGCAGAGAAGCCAGCTGCCATTTCCTCCTTTTGCTGCCACACAGTGCTGCTGCTTCATTTCTGCCACAGTTTGTCTGAAAATAAAACTAGGTGTAGATCTTCATCCCATATAATGTTGTGAAGTAGTAATAAGATCCATCAAATATTTTTTGAGTTATCACATTCACAAGATCAAATGCTTTTTAAAAAAAAATATATAATTTCCAGTTTGGCACCCATACAATGCCTTGCTTGTTAAGACAATAACTAAAAAAAACATTTATGGATCTTTTTCAATCATTGTCATGCCTTTTGCCATTTTTTCTACTTTCTCTCTGCTAAATTGCCAGTGATTTTTAAGTACAGAGAACATCAAAACACCCCAGTCTTTAAAATGACCCTCTCATCAACTTTGGATTGGTCTTTAAGAAAAAAATGATTTGAGAGTTTTAAATGGCTGGAGTACTCAGTAAGTTATGCAGTTATGGTAGATGTATGAGTGTATGTTTGTTGATACAGTAATTATAAGCGGGTTAGCCTGTAAATATTTTCAAAATGCTTGGTGTATGGGGTTTGTAGAAGTATAATAAAAATACCTTGGACCCCAGTAAAATGGTCCAGGAAAAGACTTGAATATATTAGGTTGTGCCAGCACAGATTAGCAGAATGACATTATTTTGTTTTTTATGTAATCGTGTGAAACAAAATACAAGATTACAAATGAATTACAAATAAGTCGCAGAGGGGTACTTTCAGACCTCTTCTAAGTGGTGAGATCCCTTGTCCTCCATCATGGAAAATGATTGTCCAATGTAATCATCTCCCTTATTTCAGTAGTTGTGTCTTTAGCACTGGTGCTGCTTATTTTAAATATTGATAAAGTTTAAATTAACACGTTGGACCAATGCCAATATCTTCATTATTAATAAATACTGGTTAATACCGAGTAATTTTTTTTGTAATTTACGAAGTCAATACTTACCTCAATTCAAAGAAGGTCTGTGATCAAAATTAGAAAATGATTTGTTATACCTGACAGGTTTTGGTTCTAGTCTGGCAGTTTCTTGAAATATCAACCCCAATTCATTATTTTTTTGCACATTTTGCAAGATGGGGAGCGGGCCCAAGGTGACTGACAACCTATGACGTCAGGTTGTTCAGACGAATGCTCATGAAATTACCCTCCCAGCTGTTGCAATAGAAGCTAGTTATTCCAAGAGCATCATTTCTAAAGTATTGAAGCTGTACAAAGAAGGTCAGTCATCCAAGTCCTGAAAAAAGGGCCAGCTCTCCATGTACTGTAAGATAAGTGTGCAAGAGAATAGGATAACAGGGAGAGAGACTGTGGGAAATCAGTTCAACATTGCAGCTGGAATTGCTCTCCAATTCAATGCTGGACAGGGCACGAATTTATCTCAACATAAAGTGTCATGTCTGAAGTGACCCAGCCTGTCATCAGCAAGAAGAATAAAAAGGCAAGACTAGCCTTTGCTAATGAGCACTGAAAACTGGTCCAAAGTTCATTTCAGTGATGAAAACAACTTTAACTTATTTGGTTTAGAAGGGAAACATTATGTTTGGCATTGATCTGGGGAACGACTCCACCTAAGGGGGGAAGTTCTCTGCAACTGGAGTTAGGTCCTTGATATGGTTACATGGCAAGGTGCTAAGGTGTATCAAAATGTCCTTCAGCAACACGCCAGTCCATCCCTGTATCACTCAATCAGCCATTCTTATGTAACACGATGCCCTTTGCCACACTGCAAAATAGGCAAAACAATCCCTTAAAGATGAGAACATCAAAAAGTGATGAAATGGTCAGGCCAGAGTCCTGAACCCTATCCAGTCTCGGGAAGGTAACTGGCCACAAAGTAACATTTGCCGAATTGCGGAAGAAACTGGAAGAATAGAACAAAATCAAACCAGACCTGTGCAAGATATTTGTTACGTCCTATGGGTGTAGATGTGCCGAGGTTTTTGAGAGCAACGACCTCTACACTTCCTGCTAAATTTTGCAGTTGTAATGGTCAGAAAGACAAAATTCATTTGTAGGATTCTTCTGCAAAAATTGTAACAGTTCTCTAAATTCTTTGAATTTGTTTATAACTTATTTTGTGATGTGGGATAATTTTCACTGATCAAATATGATTAAAATACATCTCTCCTATTCATGCTGAGATAACTTTGAATTAGCAGTGACTTTATTAATTATGAAAATGTTACTCATTCTCTAATTTTGATCGCTAGTGTATGTGCGTGTGTGTAGGGGGTTCTGGTTTCTCAGTCAAACTCAAGTAATCATTCTGAAAGAACAAGCAGAGAAAGAGCCAGGGTCACATTTTAGAAATGCAAATCAGACTTTATTTTGGTTAAAGGGGAATGTTTGTGCAATATACTTCATTACTCAAGAAATAAAAGGAAAATCATGGGAATTAATGATGTAAGAATGCTCGCCCACAGGACACCTCTGAAGCCCGATAAAGACTGATTTCTCATCAAAATGGTATATCTCGGCATTTGCTCGTTCTTGCCAACTATCAGTACGTCAGTGGTTGTACTGTAAAAGCAGATTGCACACTGTAGAATTAAGAATGATAGGAAATGAGTCTCTGACAATTGCTTTTCAATTTTCTCTTTCAAGTTTTCAGTCAAAGTGCCACAAAATTTTTCAGACATTGAAATGACAGTGCACTTAGAAAAATGCAATTGCACATTTGAGAAGTGACAAAAAGACCTAAGAGAAACTGCCAAAGCAAACGGCCAATAAGCACTAACAGGAAAGCCACAGACCATATCCAAGTTTGAAGATAAAAGGCCCATTGACTTCATCACCTTATTCAACATATTAGGTGCTCATATCCTCAACAAATATTTATTGGTTTTTCTTAAAATGTTTAATTCTAATGTTACTTCAAAATAATGGAGGGGGGGCTGGGTGGCAGTGCTCTCTTTTACAGATTCAGTTTAGAATTTCAGTATATAGGATCCATTCACAATTTCCATCCAAATCTAGTGAAAAACAAATTTAGCTTTCACGTCTAATATATTTTACAGTCAATTTAGTTCCTTTCCAAAACATTATACAAAAACAGCAATAGTAATATATTATTTTAATAATCACTCATAAATGAAGCTGCAACTCACACTCCAAGCATATTTTACCCGTAACACACTAGAAACTGTTCAAACAGCATCAGTAGTCAAGTAGTTTGGCCCAAGAGGATGCACACGCCATTGCTGTGTGTGTGTTAGAGGGCACATATATACATGTATGTCTGCATGTGCACACACATGCACAGGAAGGAAAAAAATACAAGATTTCTATATTCAGTCAAGAGGAGGCACTTCACATTTATAAAAAGTGGCAAGCCTAACAAAAGCTCCCCGCCCTTGGACTGTACCACAACTGAAACTAGCAGAGGACGGATAGAATAACATGCTTGAAAGCTTATGATTTGAGCAAATTTACCGGTTTGTCTTATGTAAAATAATAATGATAATAATAATAATAATAATAATAACAGTACTAAGCCAAGAAGCAAGTTAAACTGACAGAACACACCTTGAGACAGCACATCTAACTGTACTGGTGTCCCCTCCAGTATTGGTATATGTATAATGGTTATATAAATCATACACCTATGGGTATTTAAAAGCCAGTGCCTAATTGTCCTGAAGATATAAATTAGACATGCTATTTCCCCAAGCAACATCTGGTTAAGGTAAGGCTAACTCTGACTGAGCATGGCTTGACTGCCACAGTTAGCAGTGTTGAAATGACGATCGCATGATGTTTCACATGAGGAGCGGAAAACCTGTGCGGCTAAACTGATAGGATTCCAGAATTTCGCTGCCACTCTCACCATTTACGCCTAGTATAAATCAGCCCTAGAGACCACATAAAAAAAAAACCCTGAATCCTCTCATTTCTGAAAATTAAAAGCACAATGTTTAACTAACCAGAGTAGAAAAAAGTAAGGTTGATTTGAAACAAACAAAATGTTACAGCCCAGTCCTACTCATACCTACCATACCATATGTAGCTAAACATACTAATGCTTTGACAGTTCCATTTAACACTGGAAATTAATAAAACATACGACTCAGTCTGCAAACATGATCATTGTAATCATTTGTCATGCTTGTCCAAAATGTAAATACTTAAGGCATTGTATAGGTCTACAGGGAGGGAGGCCATAGCCACACATAAGAGCCACTCAAACTCAAACCAACAGGCAATAATCAGATCGAACAAGAATTTTTATTGGTACACTTGCAAGTGATCAATTGTCGTTTCATAAAGTCCTTCATTTCTATTTTTTCCAACTATCTTCTAGCTAAAGGAATGTTAGATAAAATACAAATTAAAATCCATCTCATTACTTTTTCCACCTAATTTCACTATAATCTTATGTTTCTTTAATTCAGCTTCATTAACCAAAGGGCATTAGGTGCTGCCTTCTGAGTATTAAAAGAAGAAAAAAATCAACACACCAAAAGTGCCACTTGAACTTCATCCTCAGGCACCTAAAAGTCAGAGTAAGCAGGACCATGAATTAATCCCAGCTGACCATCTCAAGGGGCTGTAGTTTTTGCTTCCCTTGGATCAGTTATAATACCTGACAGCAGCTTCAGTCGATTCACAAACCAGGTTTGGATATCAATCTGATTAGAACACAACAATCCTCACTGATAAGTAAAGAAAAACAACCCTCTCTGCTCCTGTAAATGAATCCTTAATTTTCCCCTTGGGGTTCATTACTCTAACAAGTCATTCTGCACAAACTATAAATTTAAACTTCACATGGAAAAAGGCGAGTGACTCAGAAAAGCTGCTCAAACCAAAGGAAGCGTGACATGACAGTTTGTGGACAGTGGTGACAAGCTGATGAGATCTTTCCTCTGACACAATGCTTGAGACTGCACAGGCAGCAAATTCTCAAGGCCTCTGAGGCCAAACAGATGACGGTGCAAAAAAAAGAGAGCTAAGACATCTTAGTGCAACTGGGGGTATTTCTCAGTCATAATCACCAAATTTCCATTTGCAATAAGATGAAAAATTTAGGAATTATTCACCACCTTTTCAAGCCAGGAACTTAGCAAACAAAAGGCTTGTTTGGAACCACATAAAATGCCTCAGTTTACAACTGTGTGACTGACACTGATGCTGATATAGGCAGGTGCTACAAAGTGAAATTTAGCTTCTGTGATAGTCAGATGTTATGAATGTGCAAATACACATAATTTACCATTCTGAATGTGGCAAACAGCTCCTAACAGTGACCGAAATACTTTAAGTTTGAACAGAAGAAAATTCAGTTATTTAATGGTTTTACCCAAGTTAGGTCATCAGTTTAGCAGTTTGGAATATAAAATATAACTTGAGCAGCTGGTAGTATAAACAAAAATGATACATACAACAAAGGTCTGCCATGGGTTGAGCTTCTCGAAGCCTTCTTAACGCTACGTTGTTTGTAAGTTCAATGTTAAAAGACAGAACTTACAAATGACATAGCGTTAAGGGGGGTTCGGGAAACTCATTTACACAGATTTGGATAAACATGGTTTAACCAAAAATGTTCCGAATGGGGTATTTCCATTTTGACCTATCAAAACTATTACTGGAAATGTAGAAAAACATGTTTTTGCTTTAACTGTTAGCAAGAGGTAACCAAAGACATACAGACACTAATAGCTTACAGAGTTTAGAATATTTTTGCTTCTCCCCCACAATCTTGTGCTGACATTGTAAACAACTGATCAAGTCATTAATCAGATTTGATGTTTCACAACTATTTATCCTCAAGTACAACAGGCATTTCAATAAATTAAATAAAGAAAATAATTAACACAAAAATAGGATTTCAGCTGATATCCATTCTAAGGGAAAAATCTAAGACAATAAATGAGGGGAAAAATACAGAATAAAACATTTTGCAAACATGAATAAAATGTAACTATTGGTGGTCTGGGTGAGCACAGGTATATATTAAAGCAATAGTCAATTGATCACTTGCAAGTTAACAAACACTGAGATCGAATATAACCTTTAAGACCGCTATCAATTTAAGCTTTATTTTGCTTGCTTAATTTGTGAGACTTGAAGAGATGGGTTATTATAGAGACAAGGCTATAGTTTATCTGTACCCTGGATGCTGCATGTGAGCATTTCTGCTGTTGCTGAGCTCTGCGCCTCTGCTTATAGCAGACCTGTTCATCTTCCCCATTATATTTAAGCTATGCTCTTGGAAGCAGGGTGCTTGGAAATTCCTGCCCACATACTCCATAGTTTGCATTGTATTAGCATGGCCAGAACTGGCTTCAGCTCTGTGGCTTGCCACTAGGGGGCAGTCTACAGAAGCCTCTGACAGAGGAGCAAGGCCCCCATGGAAAGGTAAGGCCAGATCCTGAGAGCCCAAGCTATCACGATTTGGGGTTGGGAGAATACTATTCCACAACGGCTGAAAGTAATGTCCATTAGGGTAGGACATGGCCCCTGGCAAGCCATTGACAGGAGGTGACGTGGTGGGTTTGTCCCCAGGAGCTTTCAAATTGAAGGGCTGGCTCAGGCAAACATCTAAGGGGTAACCTGCAGCCTTAGCAGAAAAGGCAGGTGCCCCTGAGGCATCCTGTGATAGAGGCTTGCACGGGTGCCCGGATTCGGAGATGTGCAGGTACGCAACCTGCCGCTGGTTCCAGTGGTGATGTGGCTGTGCTTTGCCTTCACTGTGAAATATGGGCATGCGGTTCACGGTAGCCATGTCCAGTGTCGGGATGACATCCCCAGGCACGGTGCTGGTGGTAGCCTTTTCTGGGGGGTCTAGGATGCAGGGGACTGGGCATTGTGGCAATACTCGGGAGGTGGCACTAATGAGCAGGTTGCGGTTGATGGGGCTAGGGTTGGCTATCTGGCCCTCGCACATGGAGGTAGAGCTTATTCCTACCCGCGTCTGGCAGAACTGGTTAATCTGATGCACAACACTAGTCAGGTTGGCCGACCGGTTGTGATGCAGTCCTGCAACCATGGACAGCGGGATGGTAGAGGTAGACATGGTCACATTTGGCGGGGCTTCACCACCAGCTGCCTTCCTAGCCCCGTGTAGCCCTGACTGTGGTTGCTGCTGTAGATGTGGCAGCATCATGTTGGATAGTGGAGAATGCAAGCTTGGCGGGTGGGGGAGAGCTTGTACCGGGGGTAAGGCCTGGGGATCCTGCAGGTTTGGGGGCTGGACTAAACCTGGAAGGTGCCTCAATTCTTCTGGCACTGCTTGTTGTTGCTGAATGGTCTGGAGACAGTTGTGGCCCTGCTGCTTCTGCTGGGTCAATGCCTGTGGCTGGGGCAAGTTTTGCTGCTGGGGAGGGTGCTGGGGCCGTAAAGCGCCCTGCAGGTGTTGGACAGTCCGAGGAAGGTTTAAAGTGCTCTGAGAGATATAAGGTCCAGCGTGACAATTCATGGCAACCCCGGGAAACAGTCGGGCCTGACTCCTATCTGGCTCTTTGAGGAAGCCTTTTAGTGGAACCTTGACGACAGCAAGCAGGCCTGCCTTGGTACTGACCTGAGATGGATAGGGGCAGTAGCGTTGACTGGAAGTGTCAAGCCCGTTGACCGTACGCCGGACATGCTTCTTCTGGGGAACTTTTACACTATTGGGAAAGATCTTTATTGTCAAGGGACTGTTGGCAACTTTCTTAGCATAAGCATCCAACTCTGCTGGGGTTGGATACTGTGCAGATTTCATCTTCTGCGTAGTGTCCCCTGAAAGCGAGAGAGGAAAATATCAGATTAGTCCTATATATGGTAAGACATCACAAATCTGGAAGTCATAGTTATGAGATTACACACACATCAAATGGAACCACATATAATAACAGTAACACTGGTTGAACAAATTAACTTGTAGGTAATCATGTCATAATCAGATACCCCTTATCAAACTAACAGAAAAGAAATTAGTTATGGCCAAAATACCAGCAGAATGATTCTTCTTAGATTGGAACTGAACTGTACCTTAAGAGCACACCAAATTTTTCCAACCATGTGTATGTGTAGAGAGCTCTTTAAAAACAGTTTTTATGCTTAAGTAGCTGAATAAAGATGAGCTTATATTAGTAGTGAAACAGTGCGACTTGGTAAAGCAGACCGAAATTTTACATATTGATGCAGACTGCAATGGCACAGCAGAAAATTTAAAATAACTAGCTTTCTATTTTCACAAAATATGTAAATAAAAAACATTTGATTGATGGAAAATGCAAATGTGATCCATTTTAGGATGGAAGAGCACAATCCTAAAAAATATTCCTCAATAATAAAATGCAATCCTGACTTCATTTCTATAAATGAGAAAGATTGCTGAATCAACAATTCCTATCAATGATGTGTAATGTGCTCAAAGATTTTTTTAAGCTACAGCTTAGTGTAACCCACTATAGCACACACAGGCAATAATTTGAAGGGGGGAAAGGCAAACTCTGTAATGAATCAACACAAAGGCTAACAAGTTTACTGGAAAAGCATGTGGAAACTGGTGCAATGCCTTGCAAAAGTACAGGCCCATATATGATCCATCCATAATAGGATGCAAAGCATACATTATATATTAAACAGTATACTGTCACTTCGGGGTTCCATTCAAACAGACAGGTCATAAATCAAAATGGATGTACAGTACCAGCCAAACGTTTGGACATGCCACGCAGCCTACAAAAGAGAGCGATAGTGTGTCACCTGACCTAAACACAGCAGAAATGGTTTCAGAGGAGTTTGACCAGAGTGTGAAGGTAAAATGGCCAATGGGTGCTCAGCATATGTGGAACCTCCTTCAGGACAGCTGGAAAAGCATCGCAGGAGGCCACCTCATGAAAGTGGCACGTAGGAGAAGTAGGATCAACCAGACCTGGAGGAATTGAGGTTAAGGGCCTTGCTCAAGGGCCCAATGGTGGCATCACTCTACCGACCCAGGGATTTGAACCGGCAACCTTCTGAATCCTAACTCACTCCCCCTCCAAAAAAAATAAATCAAAATTTATTTTATTCATGTTTTTTAAAATACTTTTTTGGTCAGTGAATAATTCCTTATGTGTTTTTATAGTTATGATGTCTTTATTCTAAAATGTACAGAATAGTACAAATAAACCTTTCTGTGGTAGATCTGTCCACAATTTGAACTGGAACTGCAGGTCGGCTAATTGGACTGATTTTAGGTGTGAGATTGGAATGGTCGTGCTGCCATACAGTACATCGTTATCATACGTCATGCAGAGCGCACAAGGTAGCACAGCTATGCTGGGCATATGGCCACACAAAATATATCACATTCATTTACATAAGTTATGCAAACTTAGGTCATATGTGCGAGTTGCATAGGTTGTAAGTCAGGGACAGACTGTACTTGGCAATTTCACAACTCCTCATATCCATCCACTGATACAATTTAAACACTCCCCACATTTTTGAACTGTGGGAAGCCACCAGAGTACAAGGAGAGAGCTCCACACTCAGATCTGGGGGTCTCAGGCCTGCTGATATGAGACACAAATCCAAATGATGACTTTGCCGGAGAACTAAAAAGGGTTGAAAGAGATGCAATCTCCCTTCCTGATGATACACCAGATTAGCTCCCCACCTTAAAAAGGTATGACATCAATAATGTAAAACCAAATCCATTCTTTGCGTCTGACTCCTTTGCTTGATGAAAAGATGCTTTGGGAGGGGGGTTGGATGAAGTAATTTTAGATAATCTTTGTACTAAAACAAGTACACTCATCAACAATGTGTCAGACTGGGTCTCATTCAGTGTAAATCTGTACTCCGTGCCTACTGAACCAATGCAAGGCTGTCTAAAATCTATGATAATGTTAATCCATATTGCAGCAGTTGTAATCAATCCCCAGTAAATATTTCACACATGCTCTGGTCACGTCCAGCCCATGAGAATGACTGGAAAGAGATACTTAAAAGACATTAGCAGGACTCAGATCAAGCCTAGTGCTCTCATTGCTATATTTGGAGTCACTCACCCCATTTAACAGCTTACATTATTAGAAAAAAAAGTCACTGCTTTTGCCATCTTGCTTGCTAGACATCTGTACTTAAATGGGAATCTCCCATACCCCATTCCTATAAGCTTCGCATTAAAACATTCTAAATTATAATACACTATAGAAAATTTGATGCACAATGAAGGCTTCTTCTTATAGTTTTAGTAAGATGTGGGTTCCAATGCTCTCTTACATTAAGAAATACAGGTGTTTCACTACCAAACCTGAATAGTTTTGTCTTCCTTGTGTTACCCAGTGTATGTTTGGGAGCTAAAAGATATTGATTGTGAATGTATGGTGTCTTCTTGTTTATATCATTTTAACATTGTGGCTGACCCTGATATTTTTTCTTCCCTTCTGTGTATTTTTGTACAGATATACTGTATATGTCTATTACTGTGTGTTCTTGTGTTTTTTGCCCTTATACAGGCATTCTGTGTAATCAGTCTATTCTGTTTTTGCTTGAAATACTAACGAAGAAATTGTTTAAAAAAAAAAATAATGCAATAAACAGCAGAAAATATGTGTAGGTGAAGTTTCACATCAATATGCAGAAGACAAATCGGGAATGTAAACAATTAAGACTCTGCATGTGAAGAATGCAGAAATGTTTCCTCATTTTCCTCATTGTTATGGCAGAGCCTTTAATACAGAATTGATTCAACAGAAAATTAGAAAAACAAGAATTTTAGGTATAGCCCATTATACACAGATCAGAACTGCCGTGAAACCTTTATATGGAAGGACAAGTACCTGCTGTTAAACAGAAGAGAAGCTTCTACAGCCATTAGCCCTGCATTTGGTTGGAGTCTAAAAGAGTGACGTTAATGCACCTCAAGAAGCAGATGTTTAGAAGTGGTTCAAAGAAGTGATAGTCATCAAAAAAATGGCCAGGTCAGACTTACCTGGTCTAGAACATAAGCAGCGCCAGTACTAGATGACTGGGGCCTTCAGCAAAGTCAAACAACAGAAAATGGACAGATAGAAACATTCACAACCCATTTACACTCCTCTAAAACCAATTCTCAACCTTTCCAACCACAAAGCCCAGCTATTCATCATTTATCGTGTCTTCCATCCATTGCTCATAACTGCAGCAAATCTGACACCTATGGCAAGAATCACAGGTGAGTTGCACGCACAGAACGCACCCCACACCCCACACAAATCACATGTATCAGTATTATGGAACAAAACAGAAGTCAAACCAACAACCCTTAAAATGTGAGAACAGCTAAGAGCTAAGCTAATTAACAGTTAATTAAGAAGGGTTGTGTTTGGTTCTGCAGGGTAGGGTCCTGTGGCTGTGATCTACTAAAATCCTGTAGTCTGCAGAGTGATGTCACTGTTGGGCCCTTAACTCCAGTTGCCCCAGGCCCTGGCTAACCCTGATTTCTCAGCTGTTCTTTAGATTCTGGCCTGCTAAACAAATGCCAACAAACATTAAATAATAGAAGCCGATTTACTGAGCAGACAAGTAAGTGCTGAACCAAATAAATCTAGCTGGGTAGCTGAAATATGTCACAAATTATTGCAGAAAATTGGGATGTGAAAATCAATTAATTTCTATGTACCTGTATTCACAGAAAAGTAAAATAAATTTATGTTAATTGAAACCAGTGCAATGGTAGCTTCCACTAAATATCAAGTCTGAAGGATGAACATTTGTAAAATAAACATATAGTTTGATCTTTTCCATTTTACTGATGAGCTCCCTTTGTGCATACATGAGTAATAAATCAAAGTGCACTGACCGTATACTTTTAATCAAAATGTAACAGACTACTTTCACAAAGCACTGTCCTTAAGCAAATAATTATTAGCATAGCTGTTGGTTCCTTTAGGTACAGGTTGTGATGCATAATGAATTCCTATATAATTACCTTAAAATGCAAAAAGTTGCATACTTAGTATTAGCTATACTGTGCCCAGCAATTAATTAGCTAAACATTCCAGTCCTGTGGTGAGCTTACTTGTTCACACCACTGCTTTGATGACTGGCTACATTTTAGATGGACTGGAATCAGGAAAATGAGCCATGCAAGATGTTTGTACACACTGACTCAGCACAGAGAGGATGGGGGGGGGGTGTCTAGTCAGCCACCGAATGGGCGGGTGGCTTTGCTGGCTGGGCAGGAGAAGCTCAGCCAGCAGATTGCTACCGTTTGCTTAATTGCTGGCAGGATTTATCAGTGATACAGTAGAGTGCAGAGTGGTGGGGGTGGTGAGAAGAGTTTTAGATCAACTACCAGTTCAGGTCAGCCACAAAGAAAGACGCTGAGGATAGATCACCCATAATGGGAGCCAGCGCACTGGCATGAAGTGTTGGAAGCTCTGCTACAATTCTGAGAAACAGGGTGAAAGACTAACGAAGCAAAAGCTGCATAATTAACACAGCATGGGGACAGTGCATGGCTCAGTGGATTAGGACGCTGTGCCTGTCAGCAGAAGGTTGCCACTGGTCAGCGGAATGATTTTACCCTCGGGTGGCTGGGTCTCTGAGCAAGGCCCATAACCCCAGTTTCTCCAGGTACTGGCTGACCCTGCTTTCTCAACCGTATGTCACCTTGGAGAAAAGTCCCTGCTACATAAATGCAAACATGCATCTTACTTAAGCTTACAACCAATAGCACCATAAACAGATGATACAAAGACTGAGATCATAGCCTCACTATGACAAAAGGCATCAAATAGATTTTAAAAATCAAATGAACAGCTATTCAAAAATCAGACCTATTAGGAGTCACATAAACTAGCACTGCATATAGTCTGAGTTACTGGGCTATCCAGCTAGAAAATTAAAAATCTCATTTCCCTTTTAAGCATTATCACCTTTTCTTTTTTATAAATTATTCCAGGTACATTTTTGTTCATTAGATTAATTTATATTAAAGATTTAAATTTTTATTTGCTAACTCGACTCCATTTGCGGTATACGGGTTAAAATGCAAGGTATTTTCTTGTCATAGTAGCGCAAATGCACATAAAATAAGTACGCATTTGCGCCTTTACAATCGATTGTCGCACGTATCGTTCTTAAAGGTGAATGCGTACTTGCGTACCAGTTATGTGCACCCCTGATTATAAGGCACCTAGAAAACTGCTTTACAATTTGTGTTACCTTGTATATGTATTCATATCTCAGAACCATTCAGTAAATAATAAAGACAAAGTCAATTCAATATTCAATTCAAGGTCATATTTTAAGTCAAGCAATTTTCCTCATGTCCCAATTACCTGAAAACATAATTATTTTAATTAAAAATGAAATGGGGAACAGAATTTGCCTTTACTGCAACCTTGACCTGGGACTCCTTTGAAAAGCCACATCTGCCATTACACTGCGGATGAATGAGTCCAAATGTCGAAAAGTAGCTTCCCAGACAAAAACCCAAATTCCAGCCTCTGTTATTGACCTCTTTGTGACGACGGATGTTTCCAGTTAAATTCCAAATGCCGCCCAGACTTGCTGAGATCTGCCTAGACATTACACCAGGCCTTCATAAAGAATGAAAGCCAATTCTTAGCTCATGATACAGCAACACATGAAGAGCAGTACTTCAGATTTAGCACAGCGAAGTGGCACCAGTCAAGGCCATTTCCCTTCTCTGCAATCCCAGCCATTAGCACAGCAAATAAGGCTGCTGCGCACCTTCTCAGCATGGGGACCGTCACAGATAGGGTATGTTGAGTTCCTGGGTTGAGAGCTGTGCCCTCGACATAAAAACAGGACACTGTGACTTTCCACTTAAAATATAGTTGACACTATAACAGCGTGAAATTAAAATACAACCGGTGCCAGCAGCACTGAATCAAAGTAAAATGAAGGGGAAGATACCAGCGGCGCTTCAGGATTTATTGGTGGACAAGGACTGAAGTACTGACAACAAATTTATAGTTATGCTTCCAATTTCTGAGGAAGTAGCACCAGTGATGTTGCTTACAGGGCTGCTTTTGTAACATATTCTTACCGGCCTTTTCTGGAACCAATGAGACACTTAGTACTAGGATAATGAGGGTCATTTTGCTGGGCAAATGCAGGAGCTTGCTACACCACGAAGGCAGTTCAAAAGGACAGGGCAGAAAGGCGAGAACAGAACTTACATTTCTGAAGTCCAGTGTTCATCTGCGAGTGGGAAAGCAGCTGGAAGGGGAGGTCACCGGGGACTGGCAGACACACCAGCATTGCACGTGGCCTCCTAGTGCACCATGGATGTCTCAACCCGCGTCACACTGCAGACGACACAGAGCCCAGAGCCGTCAGGGACCAGCTCCTCCAGGGGGCCTAAAAAGGCAACTTTAGAATTGACAAATCATCAAAATTCATTTGTTTGCACATAACTAGGCATTTGCATCTTCATATTTGATTTTGTTGAAATTTCGCATGTGAATTACACATACCTTCCAGAGCTCAAATATTTTTTGTTGATTTTTTTTTTTTAATTCCTTTTGAGATACAGTGCTTTTTCCACACCATGGGTAGGCAAAAATGATAATTCTGAGCATTTTCTAACAACCAGTACCTTTTTATTTTATTATTACGGCTACATCGCTCAACTATAGCTCAGTGGGAAGCTCAGAAAGACTGCTTTTTCATCACATGGAATTCAACTTATGCAAAAGTCGAAGTATCTTTTTTCAAGGTCAAAGTTCATCTTCTGGACTGCATTTTTTACTCCAATTGTGAAAGAACAGTGAAGGGCTTGGAGCAACAAGTCCATTTTTTAACAACAAAGTTCATTTTTTATAACGAACTTCCGTAGCATTTCGGTGCAACTTGTATACAAAACAGTAACCTGACAAGTTGCACTAAAAATGCTATTTTTATGCCTCAAGAAAAAGCATGCGGGGTGGGTTCTCCTTTGTATTGCAAGATGAAATTGAGGCATACCATTGGTCAAGTTTGTAGGGCGCATTAAACCTCTTTATACCACGGTTTTCATTTTGGTCCAGAGATGTCACGAGGGTGGTGATTATTTTCATGCAACCGCACAGTCTAGGTATGTTACAATCTCCCGATTCCCGCTGCGCCGCTCTTCCTCGCAGGTGTGTTTACGTCATCACGAGTTTGGTGGATGCGGGGAATAGGATAGCCGCGGAAAAAGTTGAACGGTGGGTTTATTTTTAAAGTACCAGGAGCACACGCTTATAGATGGCGTAGTTCACATATTTCGTCACAACCTCGTTTTCGAATTTTTGTTTTTGACCGGTCAGAAGTGTTTCGTTTTCCCGTTGCAAAATTAACGATAAATTACTTCTCAAAGGCATCGCTTCAAAATCACTAGAGGTAAGTAGATTTTTAATAAAATCCTATAGATTTGATATATCATTTATTCAACCATGTCTGTGTGAAATTTCGTGACAATTCTTAGTGTCCAAGTCAATGATATTGCTTGCGAACGAAAGCATTCCCAACTGAGCGGTCACGGTAATGAGGTGCCCCAGATTTTATTCATGAGGTCACGTGACTGCTATACTGCAACCTGATTCATCAAGCGCGTTTGTTTACATTGTAGATGACCAAGTGTGTTTGTTACGAGAGATCTTTCACTGATATTTTATGCATTCCTGCAGGGCTTTTTCACTAAAACAATTTATAAAACAAATTGAGAATTTTTTTTGAAGATCACATAATTTATTCAATTTCTTTAAATTTCTCTTCAACTTAAGATCACAGCCTTTGTTTACTCAGTGTGAAATACATTAAGAACAAAATGACCACTTATTTCCAGCACTATAATTGCTATAACTTCCTTATTTCTCAAGATATTTCAATGATTTTGGTGTCATTCTGTTTGTTATCTAGTTCTCTATCAAAATAACAGTCTAATAACAGTTCTATATTAATGCATTTTAATGTTTTATTAAGCATGTTAATATGGGGCTGGGCAATTAATAGAAAATTAATCAAAACCGACATCTAGTTGACGTAATCTTGCCCATGTTGGTTACTTCGTTTTTTTGGGGTTTTTTTTAATTCTGTTAATACTTAAAAAAAAAAAATCTGTAAATTATTTCCCCAGTGCGTGATCATGTAATGTCCCCTTAAAAAAAAACATACTACCACGTGTGTTGTCACGTGACTCTGCCCCATCCAGTCCGTAACATGGAAGCAACATGGAGGCGAACTCAAACATCGAGCCGACTGAGCAACTCGAGCAGCTTGTACCAAAGAAAAATGCCCTGTACGTTGTTTGGCCACATTGTGAATTTAGTGAAGATGACACCGAACAAAATCCTTTCAAATGTGAACACTTGGAAAAAAACAGTTTCAGCTACCAAAGGTACCACCAATTATTTTCAGCACTAGCAATATTTAAAACACAGTGGAAACTGCTTATAATGATCAAGGTTCAACCACTTAAAAGGATCAAAAATTTGGGACAGAATCATTCCAGTACAAATACTGTTTAAATAATTTGCTTATAGTATATGGAAAATTAAAATTATGGTAATTTTCTTTCTTTTTTTTTTTTTACACTTGCCTACTTTGCCTTGCGGTAGAGCTGGGTGATATGGCCTAAAAATAAAATCTCAGATTTTCCAATTTTCGATTTTAATCGATTTTCCCAATCCCCTACTCAAAATCAAACTATAGATGACAAATCAATGGTTCAAAACAAGTTCTAACTTTATTTTGTTTATTTATTTTTTTTACTTTAGCTTTAAGTGCAATCTGACAAGCCAAAAAAATATGCTTGTAAGTGAGATGGCAGATCACGCCATTGTAAACACTTTTAGAAACTTTTAGCATGTTAATGAATCCCGGCTTTTCCACAGTATGTATGGGCACCATGTCTTTTGCAATATACATTGCGACAGCGTTTGTTATCGCCTTCCACCATGCCCCATTCTTATCATATGGCACACAGTTCAAAAACGTGTCAGGGACGGTTGCTTATTTAACTTTGGATGTTGTGCTGGTGCTGCGCGTATTTTCATTTTGCTGGGAGCTGCACTTCTCCCACTCCGCTGCGTGCCTCTGCTTTAGGTGCTAGAATAAATTTGTCGTGCTGCTTCCTTTGGTTGCAAGTTTTTAAACAGATTTTGCAACGAGGACTTGTTTGGTCTGAGTCCGACGGCGCAAAACCGAACCATTTAATTGCCATGTTTGTGAATCCGCTACAGTGTTTGGGTGCGCAGCACTAATTTACCCATGAAGAATGGTGCATCGCATTAGTTCCGCTTTTGGCGCTCATGTAAAATAAGTACAGTAATAAAATCGATTTTCATAAAAACACATCGTCCTGAACTGTAAATTCTAATTAATCGATAAAATTGATTTGATCGCCCACCTCTACCTTGCGGTAACCCATCTGGTTTTGGCTAGCTACCTCGGTTCTCGAACTTTATCCATTCTGGACTCAGGATCGAATCCTAAAAAGTTCGAGTTCTAATCGAATTTTTCCCATAAGAAATAATGGAAAACCAATTAATTGGTTCCCGGCCCCCCAAAAATTACACCTAAATATGTTTTTTTTTTTTTTTTAGCATTTAAAATGAACAGGATAAAACAAGAGCAATTTTTTCTTAATGGCTTCCAAAACGATCAAGATCTTATCCCAACATTACCCCTGTCCTGCCCCGATCGTCCGCTCCTTCCGTGTGCCACGCCCCCTCGTTAACCTCGTGTGGGATCCCCATGTGATCAGCTGTTTCTGGTTGTTGTCATTAGTCCTCTGTATTAATGGTGCGTTCGATTATTTCTCTCCAAGTCAGAACTCGGATGAAAACGTCACGAAAAACGTCACTTCCCGTCGGAAACACGCCTCTTTTATGACGTTGATGTCAGACAAGATTTTGTTGTCCGAGTTGCCCCTATGACGTAATTTCAACATGGCGGCTTACACACTCAACAGTAATTCTATTTTATAAATCTTTAAAAATGTTTATTTTGTTAAATGTAATAGTTATAAATGTAATTGCACGTGTTTGATTCAGAGAATACCATATCATGACCGTAAACAGTATCCAGGCATGCAATTTTTTACGAGACTTTTTAGTGTCTGTCTCGAAAAAAGAATATCGCTATGAATGTACTAAAATATTTTATACAGCTCTTAATGTGGTTTGACTAGTTCGTGTTTCTTGTTTGTTTCTCTCTCGGAAAAAATAAAATAAAAAAAAAAATAATAATATAAAGCAACAACACACAGCAACGTGTTCATGGAGGCAGCCATGTCTGTTCTGAGATGTGGGTAGCTCGAACGGGAGATTGTCGGACGTGATGTCACTCAACTCGGAATTTCCGAGTTCCGAAAGAAAAACGAACGCACCACAAGTCCGCATTTCAGTTTGTTTCCCCAGCCCTGTCATAGGGTGTGTTCGACTTGCTTACAGCGCTGGCTTTAGATGCATTGCGACCTCTCACCCGGCTGCACAAACTGGAACCACCTCCGTGACAACACACCTTTGCCCTTATTAGCTGAAGAGTTTAGTTACACGCATGACGTTTGTATCCCAGGCATTTCCGATGCATAATCTGCTATTTCTCCCGAATATCACGTAAAGCAGTGAGAACTGGTTTTCAGTTAATTCACCTGGTAAAATAAAGTTTAAATAAATGACATAAATGCTCTAATAGTAAACGTAAGTTAGTGGTTTATTTATTGTTAGTTACTGTAATGTTGCGCTGCTTTATTTGGTTAATCGTCCAGTCTGTGAAGAAGGCATTCAAGTAAGAATTGCATTGTAGTACGACTCATTTCCTGGTGCGTACAATTTATATTAGGTCAGTGTTCATGGTTCGACTTCTGATATTCAGATCGAGTTCTAAGTCAAACTGCTTTGTTTGACTTTCAAGAAATTCGAGTTCTAGTGAGTTCGAGAACCGAGGTACCACTGTAATTTTCTTTCAATAACAAATGTAGACTCATCAAATCTTATGATAAACTGCCAAAAACGAGCCAATGAGATGCAGTAGCAAAACTACAATAATCTATATGTTATGTACAGTACTGTATTATAGCGTAATTGAATTATACACAGTTCAGTAATTTAATTTGTGCAGTACTGTAATTTGAAAAGCGTTCGAAACAGTTGTACTGTATTTTTAAATCGTCAAAAAGTTAAGTACGATGCTGTCGGCTTTATTAAGTTATATTCATGTAATAAATGTACAAATGTCGATTAGAGTGTAATCTGCTTGAGACAAAGAAAAAGAGAATTGATTATAATGATCACCCGCTTATAGTGATCAATTTCACCAAAACAGACATGATCACTATAAATGGTTTATTTTGTTTGCAAGAAATGCAAATTGTTTTCTACCTTTTTAGGGAACTTGCTTTTTACATT